ATGGATGGATGGATGGATGGATGGATGGATGGATGGATGGATGGATGATGGATGGATGGATGGATGACGCTGTGCCACCCAGGTGAAATGAAGCTGTTTTAACCATTAAATAAATGCATAATAAATGAAATGGGTCATCGATGATGCACAATAAATGCGACTTACACGCCGAAATGACTAATATATGTTTTTTCCTCTTCGTGATGCTCTTTTTTTGACTGATGCGATTTATACACCGGAGCAACTTATACGCTGGAAAATAGGGGTACATGTAAAAAAATAAATAAATAAGAAAACCTTACTGTATTTTTTGGCCTATAAGTTGATTTCTTTGCATAATTTGCATGTCCTGTGACTTATAGGCCGAAGTAACATATTTATGGATTTTTTTTTTCATATTTATAAACCAATTTTTGGCTGAGATATGACTCATTCTGACTGAAAAAAAGAACTGTACCATTTTCAGCCACTAGATGGAAGCAAAATAGTAGTAGTAGTAGTAACGCATGTCATTGTATCATTTAATAGGTAAAAGTGGCTATAATGACAAATTCAAAAAAGTTCAAGACAAAAACAACTGAACTTTATTTATTGTACGTTATTCTTTATTGGTTTTATCTTGCACTTTTGTGAATTTACCATGTCCTGGATGACTGAGAGTCATCACCAGCTATTAATGACACAATTGGCCTGCCATTGCGGAGGCCTTTCTGGCTGGAGTTTGCATGTTCTCTCCGTGCATGCGTGGGTTTTCTCCGGGTGCTCCGGTTTCCTCCCACAGACCAAAAACATGCATGTTAGGCTGATTGGTAACTCTAAATTGTCCCTAGGTGTGAGTGAGAGAGTAAATGGTTGTTTGTCTCATTTGTATCTATCTCCCTGTGATGGACTTGTGACCCGTCCAGAGTGTACCCCGCCCCTCGCACAGTGATTGCTGGACATGGGCACCAGCGACCTCAGTGACCCAAAATGGAAGAAGCGGGTAAAAGATAATGGATGGATGGATGGCAGAGGCTCGTCCCTCTGCGCTTGCCTGTCGCTTCCGCAAATCGATTTTTGAAATGCAGCTGATTTGACCGTCAAAGTACATTTATTAAGCAAAAGTTAGACTAAGACACGCATTTACTATAATTTTGGGTAAACAAATTATTGTTTTTAAGTGTTAATCTTGTTAAATCCATGTTAAAGTCCTCCCGTGCACGTTCCCACGGACGCCATTTGGCTGCCAATCGATTTTTGCCGCAACACCGGCCCACATTTCCGGGTTGTCAGCGGTGACGCGTAATAAACGTGACGCTTCAGCAGTGATGCATAATATGTGCGACTTATATAGCGAAGCGACATATTTATGGATTTTTCCACATTTTTAGACATATTTGGACTGATTCGACTTATAGGGCGGTGCGATGTGAACAGTGGAAAATACAGTAATGAGGTTCTGAACTTTCATCAAATCACTGAGAAAACATATAACACACATATGTTTATTAAAGTTACAACATAAAAGGTCAGAATGAAAAGAAAAACAAAGCACTAAAATAGTTTTAAAAAGCCGTCAAAAACAATCACCAGCATGTTATCTTTAGTTAAATCATACTTATATTAAATAAAACGTGTTTTCATTAAAATGCCTAATGCAAGCTCAATAAAATAAATGTATTTAAGGGCACAAATTGTATCTTTTTATATTTCTGAAATATTAAAATGAACACAAGAAAATTAAACCAGGACTCCTTAAAGGAATACCTATCACCAACGTTTGAAAATAAGATCTTGCATGATCAACTAGCATATGTGTTGGGGATGACTCTCAGCTACTACCACAAAAATTTTGGCTTATTTTCTGTCTAACTGACTGAGTTAGAGCCATTTATGTTTTGACTAAGGTCAACCAGATGCGGTGGCCATCTTGAAATAGACTGACATAAAAAGTTACCCAGTTGTAGGTATTTATCCGGTGACCGCAGTCAAAGGTCATGCCTTGAAAACAACACAACCTGAATGCCACTCTGACCTGTTTTCCGGGGATCCCAGGCTTTCCTGAGAGTCCTGGGCGTCCATTCTCTCCTCTCTCTCCTGGTTCCCCTGAGTCTCCCTACATAACAGGAAAAACTCGAGTTTAACAATTCAACAGAAACAAATGGACAAAAATGATAGATTGCTGCAGATCTCTCACTTTGGGTCCTGGTCGTCCGTTAAGACCAGGGACTCCCTAACAGGAAAGAGACACAGACAGACAGGGGTTTGTTGAGATGACTTGAATAATTGTTGGGTATTGTGTAGGACTTGTGTTGCTCTTAAACTCACTCGTTCTCCTGGCTCTCCTTTTGATCCAGCACCATCTGACCCTCCTCCTGGAGACCCCTTGTGGAAGGATACAAAAGTCAGTTTTTATTTGGATGCTTGCAAAAATATTTTAAATGACTTCAAAAAGTTATTTTCTGGTGGTTGCTCACTTTCTCTCCTCGTTGTCCAGGCTCTCCCTTCTCTCCCCTCGGACCCTCAGAACCAGGAAGGCCTCGGCCCCCCTGTGGGAGAAACGATAAACAAACAAAACGCATAAACAATTGATGAACAAAAAAAAACAATTGATGTTATATTTTAAAAGGAGAAGTAAATTAAAAAAAATACAATGTATCAGAACAACCAAACAAAAAGCGTTTTTGTATATCCGTGTGTGGACCAGATCTATGGAATGGATTAAATGATGAGCTCAAACAAAGTACAAATATAAGCCAGCTTAAAAAACTGTATAAAAATGAGCTTATTGAAAAATGTTGTATAAGATGGGTGTCTCAAAGACCAAAAATGCTATTGTTGATATTAATAGTGTATAAATTGTACATTTAACGATGAGAATGTGAGGTTTAAGCATCATTTAGTGTGAGAGTATTAAGGGTTATTTGGTGTGGGGAGAGTAAAATGACTGTACATTGATGTGTATGACGGGGCAGGAAATCATAAGATCTTTATCTTCTACCTGCTCTTTTTCGAACAAATTGTGTAAAATTGCATGTCATTTGGCATGACTGTTATTATTTTTCTCTTTCTTTGTTTTTACTTTTTATTGTCTGGTCGAAATAAATAAATAAATAAATAAACAAATAAATAAATAAATGCACTCACCTAAAGCAAATACAAATGCCTCACCTGATCTCCTTTATTTCCTGGTAATCCTAAAGCCTGGATGTTATAAAAAAAAAAATAAAAAAAAATACAGTGAATCATTTGCAAACACTACCATGGAAATTGATATGTAAATTAAAAGAGAGTTAAATAAATATAAATTATGATGTTCTCAGTTCTGAGTGCTCACGTTTCTTCCCGGCTCCCCTCGAGCGCCTTCATTTCCCTGGAAACAAACACGTTCAACATGTTCTCTGGTGTTTGCTGGGAAACTCGTACATCAGGTTATGAAATGTTCCACAGTAGAACCACGTTTCTTCTGTGATTGCCCCTAATTGAATCAACCTCACCTTTTCTCCTTGTGATCCGCTTGGTCCTGGTAAACCCTGGAATACATAAAAAAAATCAAGTTCTCAGTACTCATCAAGGTACGACTGTAAAAATATTATAACTACAAGTGTGTTCAGTCATTCACCCTCAGTCCTGGTGATCCTGAGGTTCCTGGCTTCCCTGCATCCCCCTGAGAAGACAGAAATGTTCATAAAGTCATTTAAAAACTTTGTTCTCACTGAACAGAATGATCAACATCAGCTGCACTCACTTTCTCCCCAGTCTCACCAGCCGGGCCTCGCTCCCCCTACAAAGACACAAAAGTTCAGAATGATCACGTTTACTAGGTAACTATCTCCTTTTAGCAAAACATTTTCATCTTACATCATCTGTGTCAGGTCCAGGTTGATTTAAGAGGGATTTGATATATAAGCTTTAAAACTCTTGACGTTAACTGACCTTTAACCTCAGACCAGTAAGTGATCTGGGTGCAGAGACAAACCATCACAAACAAAACCAGAAGAAAATAGTGTTTCTTACAGAAATGCTTCTCACCCGTCATCCAGAACAACAAAGTTTTAAATAAGGGTTCCACCAAATCTGTTACAAGTCAAAATATGTGACGGCATGACTCTCATCTACCTCCACACTTGATTTCATTCAGCATGTGTAAAGTTGCCTGAGTGATAGTGAGGATTCGGTGTTGTTTTTATTTTGCTGCTCTGTTTTTGAATTTTCAGTCTCTTGAGTTTAAGAGTTTTTCCTCGAGCGTCTTCCTCTTCTGTAGCTCTGCTTCTGCCCTGCACCTCTCACCTGATCCTCCTTGTTTTTTCTCCTCAGATGTTTGTCGTTGCCCTCATTCGTGTTCCTTTATTTTCTGTTTCATTCTGTCATTTCGCAGCACAGTGGTGCAGTTGGTAGAGATGCCGCCTTTCAACGAGTAGGTCGCCGGTTCAGATCCCGGCCAGGGACCTTTCTGGGTGGAGTTTGCATGTTCTCTCCGTGCATGCGTGGGTTTTCTC